ACGCTCCTCTCTCTCCTCTCGGGACCCCAGCAGCACGGTCACGGGACAGTAAGGGGTGGGGTGGAGGTCAGCCTCGGACAGGGGTACCGAGGAATCCACAAATTCAGAAGACGGGGGCCGGGCTGCAACTCAGTCGGTAAAGCCCGTGCCTAGAGTGCACAAGGTTCGGGGTTCTGCCCCTGACACAGCACAAACCAGGTCCTGTCCTCCCGGCTCCCGGCATGGAGGAAGTTCAAGGTTGTTCCTGGCTCCGTAGTGAGTTCACCAGCCAAGCTGGGGCGCACCGAGAGCCTATTTCAGTAAACCAAATGAGGTGAGCCGAGGCAGGGCCCCTGGGTGATGGTGTGAATGGGAGGGCCCCCAGAGACTGGTGTGTTTGAACACTTGGTCATCGGGGAGTGGCGCTACTTGGGAGGGGCTAGGAGGTGTGGCCTCGGGCTAGGCGTGGCCTTGCTGGAGGAAGTGTGTCACTGGGGGAGGGCTTTGAGGGTTCAAAAACCCAAGCCAGGCCCCTGGTCTCTCTCTTCCTACAGATCCAGACGTGGAACCCTCAGCTCCTTCTCTGGCATCCCACCGTGATGATCTCGGGAGTCCCCGCAGCCACAGGATGGTGACTGAGACACCGGAGAGTGCTTACATGCCAGATCCTCCACAGATCGGCACGGGCGGCAGTGTGCGACGTTGTGCCCTGGCTCCTGCAGCAAGCAGGGAGGTGGAGACAGAAGAAGCACCTAAATCATCAAGACACACTCGCCCGGAGTACAAGGAGAGCAGGAACAGACCCAGAGCTCCCGCCCACCTCCACCTCCACCTGTAGCATGGTGCCCGCGCACACTCTGTACACACACTGTAGCACATGCGCTCACACACTCACGTACACACTCATGCATCAGAAACTCGCACACACGTGCACTCACTCATACACACATGCACTCACTCATACACACATGAACACCCATCCATGTACATTCACGCGTATACACAAAAATACACCCTCATACACTCACACATATACTTACATGTACACTCGAACACTCACACTCACATACTTTCACATTCACACACTCACACACCGACCAACGAATAAAGATACTTTTTAGACGTTTTTAAAATAACGGTGAATAAAGAGACAACCACTCCCCGGACGAGCCGTTCTCCAAGTGGCACCTGTCCTGAAACTCTGCCTAGAGTGGCTCACTGCGGCTCGTCTCACGGAGGGGCCTCGTGCTTTCAGTTCTGGAACACCCCAGGCGAGCTCCCCGCTGGCAGAGGCTCACAGGGATGAGAGCACCCGGAGGTGAAGTTGTGGTACGCTCACACAGACAAGTGCGTTTGTCTCTCGGGTCTCTGTTTCCCCATCCGAAGAACAGAGGAGTCCGTCTTATCGCACACGTCTGTAGTGGGGGGTCACCAAAGGCGGAGCCCAGCTTGTGGTGAAGGAGGTGCCACCCAGGCCAGCCTGTGTCCCCTCCCGCTTCCCTTCCCCTCACCTCGGCCACCAGCGCACCTGCTTCCGAGGGCTCCGGTTTCCTGCAAGCGTGAGGCCTGAGGTCAGGCCCAGCCAGAGGCCCACGGCCCCTCCCGGCCAGAACCCATAAATAACGCGGCTCAGCCAACTTGGCCAGGGCATGAGACTCTCTCTCCTTACCCGGCATCGTGCTGGGCCTCAGTGCAGTCCTGACTGCCAGACAGGTGAGGCCATGTCCACATCACACTGGGAAACTGAGGCACAGGAGAGAACACCAAAGTCAAGGCCCTGACCTATAAACCAGTCCCTTCCCGTTGTCCCTTGCCACCACTAATGGATGACCTCCTTCTGCCAGTGCCCAAAAGCCGAATGACTCCAGCCTGGAACCAACTCGCCAGTGGACAAAGTTGTCCTTTGAGGAACAAACGGAGAATAGCTAGGATCTTGACACTAAGTGATGTCAAGGGCATGCGCCCCGCTCTGTGGAAGGAGCCATGGGCAGTGCCCGAAGGAAGGGACAAGGGTGAGTGCCAGGAAAAGCCCTTCACAAAATCAGGAGACAGGCTGGCATTGGAGGAGCTGGCTACCCGTGTATTGGCTCCCAGGACCCTGCAGCAGGCAGAATGCTGCCCATAATCCCAAACTGTCAAGGCCCAGAGAGCACCACACAACAGCAAGCAAATGACCGAGCAGAGGCCCAGGGAACCATGCCACCTGGCTGGGCTTCCCATGGCAGTCAGAGCTGGGCCTCCGGAGTCCAGAGGCCGGGTGCCCTTCCTGGTACCATGGGCGTGTCCTCTGATTGGGAGCTTTGGGCCTCCTGCCTGAGGTCCTAGATCTTCCAACAGGGATGCAGCTGGAGCCTGGCGTGTCCTCCAGCTGGGAGCTGATGGTTCCCTGAGCTTCTGGCCCTCTCTGACGCAGGGCAGGCCGGAACCTGCAGTGTCCTATCCCAGCCTAGCGCATCGAGGGGCACAGAGAGAGTGCCCGGCTTGGGACCTGGAACCCTGGAGGCAGTCCTAGGCCCAGGCCGCCCAGGCTCCTAGCCTATTGATAGCTCTCTATGGTAGAGCCCATCTTCTGGTCACTTAGAAGTTTCAGCCACAACTCTTGTCTCTCCTTTCAAGCTGCCAAGAGCACAACAGGGGGCACACATGGTGAGTTGCTGCCATGTGCCCCAGACTACCAACACGTGCCCTGGAAGGTAAAGTCCATCGGGTTGAGGGCCACTTCCCTGGACACCCGGTTCTGCACTCTGCAGTGTGCCACTGGGACACCTGGACTCTTTCTGGCCTCAGTCTTCACAGCCCAGGATGGGCCCGGGGCCCTGAGCCCCAGCTCTGGCTGGAGGGAAAGGGACCCTGACGGAAGAGGAATGTGGCCACAGCTGCAGGGCCCCAAAGCTCTGAGGAGACACGAAGACGTTTTCCCTGTGAGTCAGGTCTCAGGAATGTGTCGCCCAGTGTGGCCATGAGCCAGGGCCCCCCCACCCCCCAACGCCATGCCGACCCCCACAACCCCAGGGCATCCGCCTTTTATTAGAACAGAAAAAGAGGCAGGTGCCAGGTCTCCGAGAGCCCATTAAGAAGCCAATAAAGACCGTGGAAGGGGCTGCTGGGCTGGCTGCTACCCTGAGCAGGAGGCCCTGGCCTGCCACCACAGAGAGGTAACAGGGACCCCGGCCCCAGTCTACTATGCCCTGGCTGGCTGTGGCGCGTCCAGCTTGCTCCCAGCCTGCATTTCTTTCATTCTCAAATTATTATTTTTAGGGATTTCTTTTTTTTTTTTTTTTGTCTAGTTTTTGCTCGTGAGGAACCTCAGTAGACCACAGGCTGGCGCTGTTCTGGGTGGAACTACCTGGTCAGAGAGCTCCCTGCCACAGTCAACATGGTCGACGTGAAGGCAGCTTGAGAGGTTCCGTGAGTTGCTACCCCATGCCTCCAGATTGCCGCATGTGGCCTGGGAGGCCGAGAGGATCGGCAGGGGCCAGTTCCATGTCTGTAAAGCGGAGTCACCCCTGAGTCTTTCCTAAACGGAGTTTAGGGCACCCTCTCTGAGTTTTCTTTTTCACCTTCTATTGATTCTTTGTGGGGTTCACACCATTTGTTGGGTCTCACTCATCTCCCTGGCCCCTCATATCTGCCCTTCATCTTTGCAACCTCCCCGAAAATAAAATACACATACACCAAAAATAAATAAATACATAGATAAATAAATAGATGCATAGAAAACATCCTATCATGGACACTGTAGTGTGTCACAGTTTGCTCCACATGTCTTTGCTCACATATCCCTCTGTCCACATGTCTTCACTTGCAAATCTTCATTGCAATGAGACAGTGGTCTAGTTTGAGATCTCTGGCTTCTATGACACCATCAATACTGGATCCTCACTGGGACTCCTCCCAGTTATCCTGTTTTGGTCCTGTGTCATGGAGATCCTGCAGCTTTGGATCACCAGAACTGGCCCTTTCACTTGTCCCCATCATTACAGATGATATAGATTTTGGGGTGGAGCAATTCAGAGCCCTGGATCTGGGCCTGGGTGGTAGCTGAGCTGGTCCCTTCCACATCTTCAGGGTGAGCTCTCCATAACTGCTCAGGCTAGGCCACCCAAATGCCACCAAATGCCATAAGCAGGGTCAGCTCTTCCGCTCTCATGCCCTGGGGGCCAGCTCTTCCAAACCTACTCTTCCCAAGCCAGCTCCACTGTGTTGCCCAGGCGAGGTGCAGGGCCCACTCTCCCAAGTACTGCATCCGACAAGGGGCAGGGACAGCTCACCTGCTCTCAGGACCCCAGGTTCAGCTCTCCTGACAACCACAGGTGGCAAAGGGCAAGAGGTAGGGAGGGCAGCAACCCCTCACCCACACAACCCCACAGTGGATGAGTGGTGGGGTCAGCTTTCCCATACTCAGGCCCTCCGGCCAGCTCACCCACACACGCGCCACCAGGACCAGCTCCACTATGCTGCCTGGATGAGGGGCAGGGCCAGCTCTCCAGCTCGCTACAGCCAGTGAGGAGTGGAGCCAGTTCTGTCCAGTCCCTAGATGTCCACATGGTCCCTCACAGCTGCACCCATGAGGGACATTCCATTTCTCTGGTGATAATATGTGCCATGGACATTGACACCAACCCCTTCTGCTGTGTAGCCACAGACCCAGACATGATCCTCACCTGAAGCTTGAGCTAGGACCTCACTATGGCCCCAGGTGGTGGGACTGGCCACTCACAACAGGCTGCTCCTCTCCACCCTTGAGTCTCCAGTTCCATCTCTCTTCATAATGCCCAAGGTGGCCTATTTCTTTTTCTCTCCCAACTGTCCACCATCATGTATGAGTATACATGGTGGTGGCTCCTGCTGCAGCAGGTCGTTTGGCTGGTGGGCCCCTGGGTGACATCCACTGGCAAATCGAGTCTATGGCCTACCTGTGCCATGTGACAGAGGGCAGGTCCGTTGGGTGGCATGGTGGTCCACAGGGCTATGTCTGTCTTCCTCCTCCTGCCCTCCCTGGATGTGATTTGATTTGATTTTTATGTGTCCTAGGCATAAACAGGCTTGGCCACCAGGCCAGGCATCAAGCTAGAATGAACAAAGGACTGCCATCTGCTCTGCCCCTGACTGACGTAAGAACACCAGCACCAACAAGGCGTCTCTTTGCCCATTGCAGGGGTGGGGGAGGGTGGAGGGTGATTTTATTCTTGTTCCTCCTTTTCCCCCTCCACTCCTATGCCCCGATTTTAAACAAAGCCTGAAAACTTAGGTCTTTCCACATTGCTCTTCTCTCTCTCTCCTACCCTCGGGGCTCATACACACTTGCTTAATCTCCCCAACTCTAGCCAGGTGTCCCAAGACTCAGCTGCTTTCCTCTGCTCCTCCCAGAAAGAAGCCTGCCTGGATGGCTCATTCCCAGCACAGCGGTTATTATCACAATAGCATTATCATAGCTATTATATAATAGCACCCCATTGACCCCTGCTCTCCCTTGGGACATGGCCACCGTGCCAAGATCCAGTCAAGCCCCACAGCACAGCATAAGGCAAGAACCACTGTCCCCATCTTCCAGATGTGGGAGCAGAGCCTGACAGAGGTGAATGGGCTTGCTTACAGTCCATGCATTTCCCACAGTGTTGGGGAGGCTGTCCACACCATTCAAAACCTTTTGTGTGAGAGTTCTGAGCAACGAGGCAGGCGGTCGCCCTGACTGGATGGACAGATGTTGGGCTTCCATTCTCTTGTGCTTTGAGACACAGTCCTGAGTAGCCAAGGCCAGCCTCGATTTTTCCCCCCTTGGAGATTTATCTTTATTATTTTTAATGACATGCATGTCTCTGCACATGCGTGTATGCACAACCTCTCAGTGCCTGCAGAGACCAGAGGCACCGGAAGCCCTGGAACTGGCGTGATAGCGATTGTGAGCCACCAGCATGGGTGCCGGGAACTGAACTCAGGGCCTCTGCAAGAGCGGTGCACGCTCAACCGCTCGGCCATCGCTTCAGCCGAACCTGCAGTTTCTGATCTTCCTGCTTGCACTTTCCTAGTGCTGGAATCACATGCATACACCACCATGCCCAGAAGTGCTGGGGACTTGGTGCGTGCTGAGTAAGTACTCTACCAACTGAGCTACATCCCCAGCCTCAGACACTTCTGAGTTTTTTATATTCTGCTTCCCTCTTCCTCCTGCTCCTCCTCTACCTCCCTCTTCTCTTTCTTCTCTCTTCCCCTTCTTTCTCCTCTTCCTCTTCCTGTGTTCCCTTCTCCCTCCTCTCCTCTTCCTCCTTCTCTCTCTTTTTTTAAAAATAATAACACATTATGTATCCCAGACTGGCCTTGAACTCATGACAATTCTCCTGCTTCACCCTTCCACCCAAAAACCCTGAAATAATGTGACCCCAAGATGTCCTGGGGCTCACAGCACCTTGCAACACCTTCTCCCGTCCGGACTTTCCACCTCCCTGGGGTCAGCCTTCCCCTGACATCATCGTCTTCCCCCAGCCTCTGGAGTGGGAATCGCATTGCACCAACCTCCTTCTGTGGGCCTTGGATCCATCTTCCCACTCCCCGGTGACTGGGGGCTTCCTTGTTAAAACGGGGAGGTCGGGGGAGAGGCGAGAGAACCCGCTGCCTCGGGAACTGCTGAGGTTCTTCATCACAAGGAAGAACTTACTCCTTCCTTCCACACAGCCTCGCCCCTGCCTCCGCCATGTACACTCCCAAGGCTATTGAGAGTGCAAAGCATGAGCCTTCATCTGCTGCTCTCCAGGGAGGCCTGCTCCCTAACTTGACAGATAGGGTAGCAGGGTCCCAAAGAGCTAAGTTTCACTTTTTCCTATACCATGAGCTATGGGTACTATGGCCACCTTGAGAGCAGTCCCCACCTGCCCCGACCCCATGGGGATACTGAGGCTTGGAACTGGTCTTATAGTTTAGTGGGTCTCAAGGGAAGTGCATAGCCAAGGGGACATTCTCCAGGGATGGGGCCATGGCATGGAAACACCAACACTGCCCAGGAGGGTACAGGAGGAGCAGACCCAGCTATCCTTATGGACTCTGGTGAACACTCACCCTTTTTTTTTGCAATATGCCTCTGGCAGGCATTACCTGCCCACAGCAGCCCAACAACAGAGGCTGGAGCCTGGCACAGAGTCCTGGCTTGGGCTCAGTGTCCTCAGGGCGAGGCCCTGGGGTCCACCTGCACCCATGGTACCTAAGGAAGACCCTCCTAACCCCTATGCACACCTTCTTCTCAATCCCAAGGGCTCCTACTCCATGGGCTGAGCTCTGGACAACTGTGCCAGCTGGGCTGCTCTGTGGGCAGCAATAAGCCCAGCCCTGCCAACTCACAGAGTCCGCAAAATTGAAATTTCTTCTCTTCCTCTTGAACCTTGAAGCATGGATCTCTGTCCCTAAAACTGTGGGTAGGATTTGAGGCCTCCAAACAAAGCAAATGTCAGAGCTGTGGCCAAAAGAGGAAAGGTGACTAACTTCCCCAAAGTCACACAGCAAGACAATGGCAGAGCTGGGGAAAGACCCCATTATGTGAGCCCTCTGTCTATACCTGTGGCTTTGGAGCCTCCAGTCTCTGGAGACAGACTTCCCATGAGGCCTTGGCCCTGCCCTCCCATCCTGTCTAACAAGCTCCAGAAGGAAGATCCCCACACACCCCACCTCAGCCCTCTGGGACGGCTCCGAGGCCAGAGCCAATGTCCCAAGCTACAGCAGGGTCAAGAAGCACCCTTGCCCCCTGCCAAGGTGCCTGGGCCTCCATGCCACCCCTAAAATAGCCCAGCTCTCACTCCTTCAGATCAGGTTGCAGCCTGGCCATCCAGATGGGGCTCTTGGCAGTGCAGCCAGCTCTTCCCCTCACATCGCCCCTGTTCCCCTCACCTGTCAGCACTTGGGCCAGCTTTAAATCAGCCTCCCTCTGGAGGGCACAGCCTTTTCCAGAGGCTGAGGGACAGCAGCAATGGGAGTGGCCTCGGGAGCTGGGCAGGGACAGCAGGAGACATTGATAACAGATGCTGGAGAGGGTCCTAACTGAAGATCCGGGGAGCTCCCACCGCCACAGAGCTGCTATGTGACCTCAGAAGGACCACTTACCCTCTGCGAGCTCTCTCATTTGTAAAGTGGGCACAGTGCTCTGGCTTATTCAAAGGCTATGCCACGGCAGCAAATGGACCAGGGCCCCTTTCCAGAGGAGCCTTTGTTTCAGATCCCAGAGCTTTGTGCCAGTGGTAACCAAGGGCCAGGAAGATGGTTATGCTGTTTCATTTAGAGCAGTCCAAGCAGGTCTGTGAGAAAAGCAGTGCACTTCTCTGGGGCCAAAGGATAGGCATGAAAGGTGAGACCCAGGCGCCTCCCCCATCCCCACCCAGGGAAGAACAAAGATTCCTGTCTGAAGGCCTCAGCTAAGCTCTGTCCAGCAGATCAGACTCCCAGAGGTACCTAAGACTCCCAAGTGCCCAGTCCCCACCATTCAAAGAAGCCCAGCAGAAGGTTAAGGCCCAAGGCCCAAGCCTCACCTTCAGCCTCATGAATGTGGTGTAAAAGCCCAGACTGGGGACAGCATTATGATAGGATTGTTGGTGTTCTAGGTGGGTGGGCCTATGAGTGTCATTGTGAGGGGCTCCTGTCCAGGAGGAGATACATTGGTGGTCACAAGAATTGCCCACCAAGTCCACAGCAGCAGTGCCAGAGTCAGGGATTGATCCGGGGGGGTTGGGGGGGGACACTTCCAGGAGGATCATACATGGAGAGGGGGGAACTGCCAGGGGGATCATATATCCGGGAAGCCAGAGCTATGGCTGGCCGAGTCTCAGCTCTACAGGCTGTAGGTTTTTAAAAGCAGTGAATTCAGTTTGGGGTGGTTTGTTTTGCATTCGCCTTTTGAGGTAGAATCTAATTCTGTCAGCCAGGCTGTCCTCAAACATAGGAGCTTCCTGCCTCAGCTTCCCCGCTGCTGGAGTTGGGGGTGTGCACAGCCACATGTGTGTAGGCTCTCGAAAATGTGACGCACAGTTTGCTGCTGCAGCCCTGGGAAGGGGTGGATGCTTCCCTTTGTCCTGAGGGGAGGACCCAGGAGAGGAGACAGCACACTGGAAAGATACTCACAGGCAGAACAGTCTCTCTCACACACACACGTACACACACACATGCGTACATGCATGCACTCAATCACTTACACACGCACGGATATAACATGCACACATAACTATACACATATACACACATAACACACAGACATATACAACATAACACAACATAATGCACAGACACAACACACACACACACACACATATATACAGCCACACACAGACATATCACACATACTCACACATACCATACACAAACACCACATGTACGTACAAACACATCACACACATACACACACCACATAAGCACACATATACACAGTCACACACACCTTTCCCACGAGCCCACCATGTCAAGCCTAATTGTAACAGGAAGGCTGGCTGTGTGACCCTCCTCCTTGGGACATGAGGTCACTGTCTGAGCAGATGAGCCTCTGCCCAGAACTAGACTGGACCCATGTGCTGGCTACCATGCAGAGACCTGGCAGAAATGTCCGCCTCAGAACCTGCTCAGTGGTGTGCTTGTGAATGAATGGATAAAGGGATGAGTGAGTGAATGAGTGAGATGAAGAGCCCGGGAAAATGGAAGCGGTCAGGGGAGCAGGGATGCTTCCGCCACCCCGAGGAGCAGGAGCTAGCCAACCATGCAACACCGCAGGCGTCGAAGCCAAGAGTGTGACAAAGAAATGGAGCGGGAAGGTGTCTGTTGGGTCCAGCCCGGCCCCCTGTCCCCCACACCACCAGCTGCCCTGTCTCCCATCTCCCACACCTCCCTCCCTGGGGGTGTCAGTGCTGCCAGCAGTCATCCAGCCAGCCTCCCTCCCTCCCTCCCCTCCCCTAAGCTGCTTGACAAAAGCTGTCCTTGTGGGAGCTGGGACATTGTAATTAAAAAGGAAACACAATAAAGCCATCTCTGGGACCAAATCCCCATCCTGAGCATGGCGCCCGGCCCACCCCTTGCTGCCCACCAAGGACACATGCCCCTTTGTGTGCCCTGAGCCAGAGCCACGCCCACCCCACCCCACTGGCCACTGCCCTCCCTCTGTCCCTTCCTCTTACTCTATGGTCCTAACATCCCAGCTG